CCGCGACTTACTACCGGTGACATAAACGGACGACAACATTTCAACGGCATGGGGATGTTTCGAAAATAACCATTTACTCCAATATCAAAACAGCTACGGTAAAAATAAAAAGACGTGCATCATCCCGGACATAATGCAACACCACATGCGAAATTACACAGAAATGCGACGTACGGAAGAATGCGTTTTGGCTGCGAACATCTTCCAAAAAACTTGGCATCTCTTAACCATGGGCAAAAACATCTGGAACCACTTATCAAAACCACCCCGTATCTGCATGAACTTTTACCCCCCCCCCTCACTGCTATTCCAAACAACGCGTTTTTCTGGACCATTCCAATTCGCCTCGTAATTGTAGGGGTGCGTCTGCGATATTACATTGACCGCGAAAGCAGTAACGGCAAAAATACACATTCGTGCATCAACACGGGCATGCCCGCAGACGGCGTATAAAATTGCGTGCCGATTACACAAAGAGAACCCAGTGTTTTGACTGCGAACATGAAAAATCAGCCGATCACAACACTCCGTCCGGAGGTCCTGACCTCCTTCACGGAGTAATAAAGGTAAGTAAACAACGTATGGAAATTGATTGATTGAACTTACTACCTTAAAAGAATGACCTGACTCGAACAGGAAAATCCAGTCCTGAATGCCAAATCGCTTTAATACCACGAAGTTACGCTATGCTATATTGTAACGGTTGCTTACCATCATTGTCAGAGTATCGTTGGTCTGAATGATAGTTTTCGCGGTCAGTTGAAGGTCTCTCCTGAACCCTCTACTCCCACATGGATGGTAGTGACTGTCGGAGTCTGCGTAGTGCACGAAGCGAGGCCTTCGGTCCCTCAGTGGGGATCCCCCGGCCGGCAAGGCGGAGACAGACCGGACAATCGCCACCAGAAACAGCGTCGCCAGCAGCAGAATTCCTGTCGACCAGTGAAACGAAGTATCAATGTCATGTTCATGCAAATGAAGGCCAATTTGCATAATTGCTAAGAAAAGACTGGAATACGGCAGTACAATTCTTGCGGCATTTGTAGTTGAACATCATCATGCAAACCAGGGCCTCGGTTACGTACTTTATTAGCTACAACAGCCTTCTTTACTAAGGCGAAACTTTCATACTTTGAACAACATACATATGTTTTTGTCTTGGGCTGTGACTTATATATCAAAATCCTTTTGATGGATTTTTCTAAAATTTGGTTAAGTTAAAGAAACAGCTCTAACATGGAAGCCAGAAGGCACATTCCTAAGAGGGCGGCCTAGAGTCACCTTGCGGAAAACACTACAAAATGATGGGGCAAAACTTGGACTTAACTCACTTAAGAATATGGCAGTAGTGGCGCAAGACCGAAACCTTTGGAGAAAAAAGTCAGACAAGGAGTCGACCTATGCAACAAGGTTGCGGGAGGATCTAAGGTCTAAGGTAAGGTAAGGTTAAGTTAAAGAGGGTATCAAACATTTCAACCACAACGCAAAAACATGATTACTTCAAGGAGGACTGTGTCATACAGACTCTCTTGAAGAACAAATGTATGCAATGCCGGCAAAGCTTAAAAACGCTTAAAACAAGCTCTTTATCTGCTTGTAAAGTACTTTTACAATGTAGCCATATGAACTATGGAGACTTTGGTGATATAGGCCACTTTTCACTTTTCCATCGGTTCAGTGTCTGTATAGCCGGTATAACCGCCCCTCGACAAAACACACCAGCTTCGCAGGCACGCGGCACGGCGGCAGCTGGCTACATTACACCGAACGACCTGTTACACCCAGCCTTTGCACATCTAACTGCAGGAGTTCTTAAAAGCTATCTATTGATAATGCCCCTACTGTACCCGGTGGCAACGAGTTCAACTCTACTATAGTTCTAGAAAAAAAAAACGAATTTTTGAACATTTCAATCCCTGGTTGATAACTCCGGTACTTGAAGGCGTGTTCTTTTCTGACCTGCATCTTGCAACTTATTTTACTCTCGTGATCAAAACTTCGGCCGGTCTCACGAATCTGAGTTGAAAAAAGCCATGCTTACCTGTGCGTTGAGAAGCCATGTCGCAGCTTGTAAGTTACCAGGTGATGGACTGTAGAGCAGCTTTCTGTCAGGTAGGAGCGTCTTTGGGGGTGACTTTCGGCCCGCACTGCTAGCACACACGCGTCCGCGCAGAATTTATTACAGCCCGTGTATTGTTTTAGACTTAGTCATCATAATTTTTTCTATGGTTTGATACATTCATATCCCTTCTTCTTCTTATCATGCAAGTACCGCACCCATTTCCCGCTTCTATAGCGTAAATTGTAACTTGGATGTCGTCTGAATGGGACGTTTGCGTAAGACACATTTTCGCTGAAATTTCATTGTCCTTTTCCCGCTTTCCTCGGTCACAAACCTTCCCCCCATTGTCTTGATTATACAATATAATCACGTCAAGTTTCTCCAGAAGAAAAGCATTTTCACCCGAGGCTCCGTCTGATGACACATACCATTCCTTGGAATGCATGATGCACTCAGCAAACATTCCTTTGGGATATACAGTTACAGGACGATCCTTACACATCCTGGAAAACACGCGGATGTATCACTTTTTTATCATAGTACAAGGAAGGATTTAAATCTATTACGCACGATAAAGTTCTGTCAGTGTATACGTAGGAGCTTTTTTCAGTGCAATCTGAATTGGTGTGCAAGTCTCCGCAAATAGGCTTTGTTATCATTTTTTTGAAGTTCTAAAATGCTAGACCGATCCTGAAGCCCCGCCCACCTCCGTCTAATGCAAATATTTCACGGACATGCAGCCACCTCCTCATTGGTCGAACCGCTAATTGCCTTTCTCTCATTGGTCGAACGTCTAATTGTGATGGACAATAAGGATCGGTCTATTGAGTAAACTTTTGCACATCTTGTTGCGGAAACCGCTCACGTAAGTCTCTTCAGCCAGAAATAACGACAAAGTTCGGTTCCAAGGTTACTTGGTGATGTATTTGCCACACCGTGGCGTCAGGTGTAACAAATTCACTACTCTCCAAGCAGATGTTTTGGCTTCTTATTTTTGACGTGATTTTGGGCGTTTTTATCCAGCTTTGTTTTTATACTGCTACTCGTATCAGCCTCTTAAAACCGTTAGATGTTGTTAGCATCACCAACTATGTATGTAACTTTGCCATACGTTGTACCCGTTTCAATTGTCGTGCAATAAAATAAAGTTCTATCCCATTTTAGGCGAGCCCACCAGGTGGCACATGACATCTAGCGTATGTACGCCCTATCTTGGGCGCGAGTCTATGACTGGGTTTAAGACTAGGCCAGTACAAAAACGAACGCCGGCACTACAAGCACTAAAACGAACGCCTCACGAGCCCAATTCATTTGAATTGCTAGCATACCACTCAGCGGTTCATTCCTTGAAATTTCATCCGACATAGCCATGACTTCCGGTGTCAACTTTCAGGAGCAATGATGTACTATATGCTCTCAATGTTATCAATCTCTGCGTTGTTTTACAACGATTTTAACTGAGTTGGATGATCATACTTGGACCTCAGTGAAATTAGCAGACGAGACGATGTTTAATTCTCAGAGGCTAAATGAACCTTGCCCGGAACTCGCATGACTGCCGACCAACACATGCACCACTGGCAAAGGAAGGTAAGAATGTCAACGTCATAACCACATGAGTCACCAATTCACGCCTTCTTAAAAGGTGTGCCAAGGAAACGCCTGGATGTCTATATTCTTGGAAGAATTTCGAAGCCCAATGTTGTTCCGGAATGGGGGACAATGACCTGAAAATACTCGTCTACTTTGTCTGCAGTTAGGTCAATAACCGTGCAATGACCCCTACTGTATTAGCCTGGTGGTGTCCAGTCTACCGTGGTTGGGACAGGGTGTCTTTGAGGCTCAAATATTTTATTTTCCCCCTGTCCAGCTCAACAGACCGCCCAGTAGGAGTTTTGCACGCCAGTTGATTAGCCCCTAATAAAACTCCCGTTGTGCTAAACCTACTGGAGAACCTAGGGAATAACTCCTGCAGCCCCGAAGAGAACCCTCCCCAACCACGATAGACGGGACCATACTGTAAATGGCACAAAACAGTTGCAAAATGGGCAAATATACATATATATATACCGTAAGTTGCAAAAAGAAATATTGGGAAAGAATACCAATGTCGTAGAATGTCAAAATCAAACGAAAAAGACAAAAATGTAAAGAAATGAATTTGAAGAGTAGATTATTCGCCATACCATACTCTGTGTCATTTGTTCAACCTTCATGACCACGTAGACTTCATGATAATGAAAGCAGCTTTTTTTTGCCAAACTTTTTAAATTCGCACGCTCGCATCAGTTTTGGGGTTCCCAGAGGATGTCATCCATATAATCAAATCAACATGGCCTTACCGATGCTGGCGCAGTGTCACAGAAAAATGACAGGCAAACCCCAAACGGCAAGACCGGCCGTGAACGAACAAAATATAACGATAAACTTCAACGTACGCCTTTTCTTTTCGGAGCTATTTGTAGACAATAGTAACTGTACGACAGAACGGTTTAAAATTTATTGAAAATACCGAGCATTAAAACCGAGAAAAATAACATTTTTGCATCAATCAACTAAAAATGGCAACCCCCAAGAGAGCCTTATTTCGGGCGCTATAAAACAGGAAGTGCGAAAATTAAATGTAGCTTTGTAATGGGCACTTCCGCCCACTGGAGAATTTCGGAGAGTTGGGAGTTGCCAAACTCAATAGTCCCGTAAGGGGGTTTCAAGTTATTGCGGATTATGTAAAAAAATCAGAATGAACCATTTGGGGCCTGCTATGTATTCAAACCCCCAAAACAGGGCTATGAGTGGATGGCGTTCAGCACCAAGGGCAAGCATTGTACTACTAACTGTTAACTGGTTACACAGTTACATTTTTGACATGTTCTTGTTTCCCCATCCATGTCTGCATTGACATGGATATTCTGCCCGGTAAAAATGTCACAGTTTCTGTTCTAACGTCACAAACAGAAAGAAAATAACAACAACATGTAACCTTACCAGAAATGATTACGTTATCTTTATGCATATTACCGGCTGAGAACCAACAGGTGGGAACTACCCATGGGTCTATGCGAACTCACAAGCGCCAAGATGTCGGCCGAACATGGAGCGGGAGGAACTTTTGATAACAATTCGTCCCTGGAAGACGAGAAACGTCTGTTTTTGGTGGTGAGTAGAACGTAACTTTGTTCTTTGTATCCTTGTGAGCACTCTGGAACATCCTTACGTAGAAAGACGACGTAATACTACAGAAATATGACGGAGTTTTTAAAGCATTGTGGCGTGGCATACACGCGAGAGCGCACCTGGGCTAAATTGATTTGCATATAATTTAAACGATAGCAAGATCATAATAAATTTTTGAACAACACGCAGCGTACAAACGTGCTGTGCATAAAGAAGAAAGATGTTTCGTCCTCCCCCGTCCAGCTTGAAATAAACCTCATTAAGTTGAAAGAGTCCATTCCAAGTCTTGCATATTTATTTCTGTTTTATTTAAACAGGATAGAAACCTCAGTGCTATTTAAAACCACTGCTTTTCAGGAATGCCCTGTAAATTTTATGGATGACGTCCTTTGGAGACCCTAAATCTAATGCGAGAGGGCGAAAAAATAACAAGAAGGGCCCTAAAAAACAAGATGCCTAGATTAGAAATATAGTAAGAGACGACAAATGTTAGGACACAAATTGAATGAGGTGACACAGTGTAACAAGCAAGTCTTTTATTCATCATCAAAACAGCAATAAATCAGGTGGAATAGCAGTTGTCATCCTGTCCTGTTTTTGCGTTACGGGTTTCACGTCAATCTGACGATTTGGGGCACTGTCGTGACTCTTTGGTCATAGTTGCAGGAAGCGGAATTTCTTTTTTTTTTTCTAGGAACAGGCCAAAATCAATGCGCGTGCGGACGTCATCCATAAAATTTACTTGGTGTGGCCAAACAACAAGTGACAGATTTGTTGGGCATGAAGAGATTATTTATTCAAGGAAGTTCTTTTTAAACCTCCTTGCTTTAGTGAATCGACAAAAGTACAGGGACTTTTGTCTACAACAGAATGTACCACTAAGGTCGAACTAAGCTAAATACATGTATGGTAAATACATGTATGGATAATGTCATCCTGCTTACAGAATATATTTATGCGACAAACTATGTACAGAATATACGTCAGTGGCAATGTATAGCTATTCTTAAACATGCAGTCTCTAAGATTTAGACATTGTTAAACTGTATTTCCCTATTTGCACACTGTCTGGATTGTCTCCTCTTAAAATGTATTGGAATTTATTTATATGACCTGAAGTGTTGAAATCAGTAGAACAATTGGACAGAAAAGTGTACAGCATGCAGCACTTATCATTATATAGTGTACAATCTGTTATGAAATGATGCTCATTTTTAATCATATTTGGGCAAAATGGTACCTAGACGTTGATGAAAAATATGCAGACACATCATGTGGTATATCTACCAGTATCAATTGTGTATGTGAATGTTTCTGATAACATCCTTGGCACTCTACACCCATTTCAAACTTGCAAATGGGTTTCAGAACTACACAAATTGTGTGAGCAGCTAGGCCACACTGACTTAATTTTATGGAAGACTATGAACTGATGCAAATTCACAATACCAGCTTTGTATTCCTGTGGATTAGTAGCATTTTTATTTTTGGCCGGAATTTTTTTTATTTGACCGTGTGCACTAGTTTGGGACTCTTCAGAGGATGCCATCCATAAAATTGGGTGTGGCCTTAGTTACCAAAGAATGTTTTTGACTGCTACACATTTCTTTACAATTTCTTGAACACATTTCGGATTGATGATTGAACTGTTTTCATGTTTATTTTTCAGAACATATCCTGACGACATTGGATATTATACTTTGACCATGTATAAAACATTTGACCAACTTGGTTTGACCAAATGTTTTATACATGTTGATGATATTCCAATAATTTTGATTGTGTTTACCTGATGCTAGTTGTTGTTAATCATCAGATGGATATACTTGGTTGCATTATTTCATTTATTTCAAAGTTAAAAAATCTTTTGTTATAATGACATTTGTAATTTACATTTTGTCTAATTTTACAGAAAACTTATTCGAATT